GTATGCAAGAGTATTCTTTTTCAAAGAGCTGTGAAGAAGTGGAATAGAGAAATCAACACTATAAGATGTTCACTGTGAACAGTTTAGATCTCATAGGAGAAGGATTCCCTGTGCCCCTAAAAACTATGCTACAAGATATCAGACAAGGATTATGGAGCCAGCAGAACAGTAGAGATCTTTTGTTTGAAAGAAAAAAGGATAATCATAATTCCTAGGAGAGTTATCATTTAAAATGGGCCCAACGAGTTTTTTTTACTGTCCAATGCTTCACAGCAGGGTAATTCAAGAGTACTGGGCTTAAACCATGACATCAAGTTATCGCCACTACAAGCGACATAAAGAGGAAGGTTTATTAAACAGTCAATGACAATCATCTATAAAAAGATTTGTTCATATAAATGTAAAAAATTACTCCCGATCCCTTTCTTCTGGGAAACACAGAAGGGAATTCTAGTGTGCAGGGAGCGGTATGTCCTCAGAGAGTGTAGACAGCTTTCAAGTACAAGCCCAAACACTAGAACATACAAGAGCTTAATAAGAAAAAAGTGTATTACCTAAATCAGAGAATACTATCATTTACCATTTCATCCCTTCAAGGAGAGGGTACCAGTTATGAAGTCTGACGCAAAAGTCAACTATCTGCAAAATGAATGTTTGTTCAGAATTTTCCTTCCCACCCATTTACCCAAAAATGGGAAATACACTGAATGAGAAAATAAACCACTTGTTCAAGGTCATGACACTGACTTAAAAAAACTTCTTTTAAAAAGTCCAAATAAAACTGAGTATTTCATGCTACATCTGTCCTCACCCAATGACCTGCATTTTAATTTACAGCTGTTTAAACCTGTTTCCTCAAAACAAGTATAAGTATGTAGAGACACATCCTATACTAAGCTTGTTTCTCTCACTCATTTTCTGTATGGCATGGGGTGTTATTTTGATTTTCTGCTTAGTTTCCCTCACAATGAACTAGCCCATGGAACTCCTTTAAACCAATATTATATTAACAAAGTTAGACAGTCAAACACAAGGCAGGAATAACCAGAGCTTCCCAAATTAATGCAAATGTTTTTGGAAGCACTAACAAATTTGTAATTTAGCTCCAAACATCAATCTCTGCTGACAGCTGGAGTAAAATTTTGGTGGCAGGAAAAGGGACTGCTGGAGCACTGTGTTCCTCCTCATGTCTTCCACTGAAGCATTCAGTAGTGATTTTTACCAGAGCCAGAACTGCAAGACTAAGCAAGCCACAGGCCTGAGCTAATGTGGCGGGTTCTGTTTTTTCTGTTTA